CTTTTTCTAGTAGCAGGAATGAAACAGTAATGTTCAATTCAATTTGCCTTGGTATGATTCCGATTTGTGAAGATGTAAGAAAAATAAGGAGTCAAATGTGATCGTATTATAACTCCTGAAGTTAAGTATAGTTAAGTATGCAGGAGATTAGTTTCCTTTCAGACAGAGAGGAACTGAACCATCCTCTCTGAGAATTCTGATGAGAGCAGCCAGTAAATATAATCAGCGCTGCTTCTCCACTGAGACAGTCAAGCTGTGCTGTGGGTCAAGGCAGCTGAGCAACTTCATTAGCTCAGAGAGTGTGGTCAGGTGCCATTCAGAGAGGGTGTTCTCACCTGCCTAGCAGGTTTGAGAATGTGTGTTGAGAGATGAGGTTGTTGGTGTTTTAAGCCTAGTGATTTACAGGCTGGTAAGGAGTTGTACTCTGAATTATGACTGAACATCACCTTGCTTTTCGCTTCTTCAGGAGCCAGTTATGAATCTAGTATCCCTTGGACTAAAAGCGGGGGGGGGGGGGGGGGGGGGGGGGGGGGCCTGAAAAACCCAGAAAACCAGGCTTGTAAATGCTATTTCTGAAGAGGGAAGGAGAGAAAACAGACAGATGCACTTTCTTGACCCTTCATTCTCTTTCCCCATGCTCTCCTCCCACAACAGCTTAGATCATTAAGCTCCTGTATAATTAAACCTTGGTCCAAGTCACATTCATTCTGTTTACTGGCCACAGTGAAGGATATAAATACCTAATCACTTCCTTACACAGAGGCTGCTTCCTGCTAGTGGTTTGCAGTTGAGAAGGACTGGGTCCTTCAGCAAACTCCTTGTCCAGCTGCTTGCTTTGTCTAAAGGAGATTTACTCCAAAGTGGTCCCCTGCCACAGCACATTATTTCCACAGATTTCACCTCCTGTTTTTTCAAAGGGAGTAATGTCACTTTCTATGAACAAATGGCATAGAAAGGCTATTGTCAATGCACATAATAACTGGAATTAAATTTACAGAATGAAATTAAAAAGGGAAGAAGAGACTGTCTTTTGAGGTTTTCTGAAGGGACTGCTGTTTTAATGGTCAGCTGAAACCACAGCACAGAAGTCCTTACAGATGAAAAGGTCCTGAGCATATATCCATGGAAGTCATAACAATGGTTGATTGACATCATCATGATTAATACAAAGTGTTCTCAACATGGAATGCAAAATGTCCATCAGTCACCCTCAGAGCATGCAGAAGTTAAACAAAGTGCTGCCTGCTGTAGTATTTCGTGGGCATGTTAGATCCATCCAACACCCTTCTCTCTCTGTAGGAAGGAATTACTGCCTGAGGGGAAAGCAGGGAAGAGGGAGAACTAATTCCTAATTCACATCACATCACAGTGTTCTTGTGAAGCTGTTGTAAGTGGCAGTTTGAAATAAGTCTTGAACTCCTATAGGGTAGACGTGATTCTGACTCACTGAGGAAAGAGAGATGTACTAACAATCATACAACCTGCTTGGACACTGCATGTGGAAGAAGTCTCAAAATTAGATGGAGTGTTTCCTCGAGACACTAAGAATCCAGACCTGTTATTCTTGATGGCCTTGGGCTCAGCAACTCCAAGGAGTTACTGCATGAGCTACTGCTTTTTCTGTAAAAGCAGAAAAGGCAGAAACTCAAATCAAGTGAAACTAAATGAATGCACTGCAATCACAGCTCTTTGACTTCACTAGCAGTTTCAGAAATACTCCCTGATCTGCTGAGGGTTTAGAGCAAATGATTTCTGTCTTCTCTGTCCCTATTTATGAAAGCTGAGTGCTGCTGTAATCAAATAAAGTTGGACTGTATTTTGCTTATGTTTTATCTATGCAACTGCATAAAGTACCTAATGGTGAAAGATACTAGATGAAGACCTTTAAAACTCTTTAATAAAATAATTTCCAAGTGGTAGTGATTAATCTAGTATTGAAGCTATAATCAAAGAGTGACACAAAATACATCAGTCCTGTTAGAATGGACAGGGCTTGTTGTGACTTGGTATTTGAAATTAGTCTATTTTAATACTTTTTAAAGCCATGTAGGGAAGAGGGTAATAGTTACACAGTCTGTGGCCTTTAATATGTGCTGGTGATTCCACTGAATCTTTTTTAAAGCACTTTTAGTTACATGGGTTATTAGCATAAAAGCAACTTTAAAGTAGTAGCCATATTAATATCACCTTAAAATTTATAAAAAAATATTATTTGGGATACAAGCTAAAGACAGATTTATTTGAACCAAACCTGTGTGAAGTAGAAGCAATTTAACACATATGAATTTAAGACATGTATCTGTTTTGGCTTTACTTGTTTTCTTAATCGGATTTATACCAATACAAATCCCTGGGCATTTAATGTCTGGCTAATGTTGTTTTGTTGTAGAATTAATGGTTCAAATAAATTTTATTTGATCACTTAGTGAGCATTTCAATTAATTTGTCTTATTCTTCTGCATTCCATGCATGTTGCTCTGCATATTTCTTTATTATCTTCTACTAGGGTACCTAATATCCATCGTGATTTTTCTTCCCACCTTGTTGAGGTGGAAGTGCAGTGGACTGCCTTGGTGTGTGGCTTTTCCCATTTATTTTTAATTACTATATACAGTTTTATAGAAGAAACAAAGGAAAGAATTGTGTATGAGGTTTGTGTCGGATATTTATTTAACAGACTGAATGTGAGACTTTGTCTTCTACACAACCAGCACTTCTTCCTCCCTGGCCCCCTCCTTCCTCTCCCCAGGAGATTCTCATGGAAGTCAGAAAGGAAGGGTGATCTATTCCAGCTGTCAGCCAGAAGCTGTGGATGGTTTTATTTTTAAATAAGGCTGCTGATGGTGTGACTATCATTTCATCTACCTCAGCTTCAGTTTCAACCAGCCTTCTCTCTTCTTGTAATTGGGCTTCTCCAAATACTGAATGATTTGGTGTAGCAGTAATGCTCTGTTAACAAAGAGCTATGTGTCATCTGAATGTTGACATGCATTATCTGGCCAATTTATCTCAGTGTTTAGCATTGGAAAATACATGTTTGAAGGGTGCAGTGGATCTAAGGCAGAGAATTCATTAGCATAAAACAGAGTTTAAGCCCTTCTAGTATGTTTCCACAGGACCATGTTGGATGGGAAAACAACTTTTGCTTAGTAGATGCAGAGTAGGCCAGAAGACAGAAATTTCACCTGCTTGCTATCCAGCATAGTGAGAAATTAGCACTAAACAAAATCTCTAAGACAATGAGACTTCCAGACATGTTCCTTTTTAATTTTTTTTTTATATTTATAACGTAGGAAGGATTGCTTATATATTGCATATTAAAATTTCCTGGACTTAATGTAAAAAAATCCACCTTTTTGAAGCCTTTTGATTTAGTCTTAGACATGATGTCACCACTGTTATCTTCATAATTAACTATTGCATAACAGCTGTTTTTGTAGTGACAGTCATTAGCTTTCTTAGTGCTTTTCATTCTCATTTCACAACTTTTACATTCTACATTTAGTTGTCTTAATGTCTTGTTTAGTGGAAATAGGAGACAACATGGGTGTATATGAATACAAGATTTTTCAAGCTGCAAGCAAAGAATGGGAAAGGAAGAGAGAGGAATTAATTCCTGAGTATTTAAAAAAAATATACCTTCATTATTTTAAAGATAGCATGCAAAACCTCAAAAAAGATGGATAAATAATGTTTCTGAGGTTTTAACAGCATAACAAGTTCAATATAAAATTCAGAGACCCAAAGAGATTTCTAGGGAAGATGTGGGGACTTTGTGGGCTTAAAATGAAATTAAAATCCTTCTCTCATTTTATTTATCTTCTCTGGCAATTTAGAATACCCTGAATATGTAATACAGGTTGGAAATGAGGACACTGTTGTAGAGCTAGTTTTAAGAAAGCTGATTGAGTTTTAATTTTATTTCTTAGCAAAATAAGAAATTTCTTCTGAAGATGAAAGAGTGAACTGTAGCCTGGAATCTTTGCACTGGGAACTGTCTGGCACGTTTCTTTGGGTATTTTACTTGTTGCCTGTATAATTATCTGGGATTTATATGCTGCATATATATGGTCACTGTAACTTCTGAATTCTGCAAACTCAATAACTGGACTAGTTATTCAGTTGTTAGGGGTGCCACCATCCAAATGGATCAGGCTAGCATGGTTATGATATGATGCAAGGCCCATGGCAGGCACAGTAATATTCTTTGCTCATCCTCCATGCCAAGTCTGGATGACTTACTTTGCAGGTCACCCTATTGGTCTTGGCTAACTTTCAAACTCAGTATTATCTAATCTATAAATCACTGCTGTTCCAGGAGTTAAACTCAAACAAACAAACAAAAAAGAATTTAAATGAGAAAAAAAAAATTGGCCAATTGAATGAATAATTGAAGATGGAGTTTGGTCCACAGAGAGAGGTATTTCAATCTGGGGAATAAAGAGCAGAAGAAGTAATGGTAGCCACATAAATAATTAATAAAGTCTCAGCACCCTTTCTTTTGCGACTGAGGAAAATAAGGATGCAATGCTTTTCCCGTCACTCCTCATATGGACTGCAGTGATTTATCCTTCAGGCAGCTACCTGCATGACTGACACAAGAGGAGAAATCCCTGAAGGTGACTGCAGTGGAAAGACAGTGCTTGGCTTATCTGTCTTTGATTTCGAAGACAAGTGATGCTCACTGGTTCAATGTGTATTTTCACTGTATTTCTTTAGGAAGGTTAATCTCTGACCTTCATGTTAGAAGTAATGTGTATTGTTCAATCAAATTCTAAGTGTTGTCTCCACTACTGTTTCTTGAGAAGACAGAGGTGATTGATCTTGTGAGGTTAGCAGTCACCACTACATAGCAGTTACTACTGTCCATATTTCTATTGCACCATCTTCCTTAAGATGAGAAAAGGGTAATGCTAAGAAATTGTTTCTCCTCAATCTGTCTGAGACTGACAGTGCAGATATTATCTAATAAACAGGGGTTTTGAGCTGCTGCTTAAATGATGCAGTTATATATTCAAAAGCTATTGCTGTCAGTTTGATTATGGGTTATTCCCTTATGTATGAAAATGGAAGTAACTTTGACTCCCTTATGTCTGGTCTCTTAAAGTACGAAGAAGTAAATCCTGCTATTTCCTAGTGTTCTTCACATGCATTAAGATAGTCTTTTGTTTTGTTTCCTTAGGCTGGAAGATTTGCTGTTCCAACCCCCTAAGACACAAAGTTAATTTATTTAATAGTCATTTGCAGTCATATCTAGTGTGTGTACATGGCAATGGAGTCACCTATCAATTATGGCTACAGTTGTCTTGATTCAGGTAGGTAGCACCATTTTTGCCCACCTCTTATGTACAAGAAACAGTTTTATTTGTTCAGAAAATTCTTCCCCATTAAATTCTGATGGATCCTTGTTTTTGCAATGGTGCAGCTAAATAAGACCAAACCTAACAGATGACAGGAAAAAAACAGCGGAGTAAGAAGTACAGCATAGTGGATAATAAGTGATGCAGCAACAATATGATTGTTGACTTTCCCAACTGTTTATGCCTCATTTTTACAAACACTTTTTAATATGGAACAAGCTAGAGCATTAAATTTGAGCTTGCTTCATTTTTACTATTAAACTTTCAAAAGTCAACTTCAAAGGTCAAAAGTAGAGTCAGAGTATGCATGAAGGTGCCTTTTTATACTAGCCATTCTATGCTTTTCAGAAAATACATAGGAAGACAGCATCATTGTCATAAAATTTGTTGGGTTTTGGCAGTAACAGATTAGGTAGAGGAGAGATCCTCTGGTGTGTGTATAGATCCTCTGGTGTGTCATATACCTGTGTCTTGCAGGTGAAGAAGTGTCCATGAGACTATTGCTACCAAGTTGCTTAAGAAAACCTTTTCAAATCAGTCACTGTGTGAAAGTTAAAATGTTTCTCACTGTCTAGTCATCAGAAAACTGACTGCAGATTTAAGGCTTACCACAAGACAGGGAAGGCTAACTATGCAGGACTGCAGTATAAGAACTGAGTGTTTTCCTGTGTGAGGATTAGGTACCTTAAATCAGCTCATTAACTCACAGTGAAGGTCTATTATATAAAATTTCTCTCACTGATGGAATGATGAAAAATTTTTTGAGTTATCACAGCCCATGTTTCCAGGGTTCTGCCCCAGCAGAATTCCACAGTGTAGGATCTTAGCTTTGCATTTGCAGGGTCCATACACTCATTAGAATCTTAAATCTCTATTACTGGCTGAAAAGACATATTTAAAAATCCAGTTTTCTTGGCTCTGTGGCTTTCTAAAACAAGTCAGTGTGCAGTGATAACCTAAACCAGGCATCTTACAAATTCTTCTCAGAGAAATTAATGTGGTAACATTCAGTCTATTCAGACCTCAGTGATGTATATAATAGGGGGTGTTTAGATTGGAAAAAAATTAGTCAGCATCTAAAGTGCTGTCTATGTTTTATGGAAAGAAAGGGGAATAAAACCCTTGAGTCAAAGCCTCTTTGGTTATGTAGAAACACTCAACTTCCAGCATGACAAGTTGGCATAGCCTTTCTTACCCTTCAATACTCTTACAAATTAGAAGTGGTCAGACCAGAACTGTTTAAGTAGGTTTCTTGTATATATCTGGGGTTGAGAATACTTGAAAGTAAGTAGTTTGACACCCAACTATTGACCAGTTCCAGTATTGTAAAAAAGCTACTCTTTTAATTGTTTTGCTGTCAATACCTTGGTATTCAGAATGCAATATCCAAGGCAGGCTCTAAAGAGTTGCAGAAGGTCCTCATGATACCGAACAGTTATTGAAATTCTGTGTAGACAGATAAGAAGTGATCAAGGAGTATATGGAGGGAACAACTCTCATCTTGCACACAAGGCATTCCTTGTCCTCCCAGATTTCTGAGGAATGGCACATAGACAAGGCCAGACTGGATGGAGCCCTGAGCACCCTGGTTTAGGGAAAGGTGTCCCTACCCATGGCATGGGGGGTTGAAACTAGATAATGAGGTCCCTTCAAATTCAAATCATCCTGTGATTCTATTATTTTGTTTCAGTCACTTATTTTACTGTCAGCTCAATGTGCAGTAATAGTAGAGTCCAGAACAGACAGCCCTGGACCACTGCATAAATTCAGAGTATACCTATATCTGGCACATTGTGTACACTTATGATATTGCTTCTCATCCTGTACTTCTCTTTCCCACTTAATCCTCCACCAAGCCTACCTCCAAAAGAGATAATAAAATGGAAGGAAAAAAGGTCAGATGTATGTAGTAGTGTGTTTTTTATATTTTATGTACAGTTTTATATATTTGTATTTCCCAATGGTTTGTCCCTGTTTCCCCCTTACTGTTGAGTTAGTACATCCTTTTGTTCTGTTTTCCCGCCTGGTCGTCCCTTCCCGCCTTCCCAGCACCTGTCAGTATTCCCCTGTCCCCTCCCAGGTACCTTGTCTGTCACTCGGTGTTCCTTCCCCCCTATCCAGAAACTTCTCCTCAGGGCACCGAGTGATTGGACGAGGGCCTGGGGTCACTCCCATACCCCTTCCCTATTGGACCAGGCGGAATCATCCCACCCTGGAGCCACTCCCTTCCCCGCTTCCCATTAGTTCTCCCCTCACAGCCAACCCCTCCCCTAGTCCATAAAAGTCTGTCCCGAACCCCACTCGGGGTTCCAGTCTGCCGGTGTGTCTTCTCTGCGTTTGGCCACGTTGGCCCTATATTAAAGAAGCGTTTACCCCAGGCTGGTTCCGGCTTTTCCTTTTTCCTTCGGGGCTTCGCCGGCGTAAATCAGGACCCACGGGGACACCTCCTTAACCCCGCTAGGGTGCAGCGGGAGGTGCCTCATTGCCTGTCCTCACCCCAGGTGCAGAGCTAGCCGGGGTTGAGCGAAAAGATCAGAGGGCATCTGGGGCTGAGGAGCGCGGCAAGTTGGCGCCCAATGTGGGGCCCTGGATTTACGTCTTGGACCCTGCGGAAGAGGATTTCTGGGTCACCCGGACCCTTGGAGCTGATCCTCATGGCCGTCAGCCACCCCCGGTCGGAGCAGGCTCCGTTCTAGTGAGCTGCGCTCCCGGGGGACGGAGCCGGTAGCGTCGGCGGCACCTCCGACGTCGGTCTCCGCCTCGACAGGACAGGTACAACCAGCTTTTTCTTTTCTATCCTCCCTTGGTGGGCCCTTGGCGTAGGGACGGTCCGGCTCTCCCCTATCCCTCACTGAATTTAGTTGCCTCCCTTCCCGGGCGGGAGTGCTCGAGGGTAGGGGAAGAGCGGGGGGGATAGTCTTTTTGGTTTCGTTGGTTATTTTCTGGTTGTATCTCCTGGGGCACCAATTAACATCGAGCAATGGGTGCTAAGCTCTCGGTGCCCCAGAAAAGCCTGTACGTCCAAGTTGCGGGAATCCTTTTAGTGGGTGGGATTAAGGTAAAGAAAAGTGAAGTTAAGCGCTTTGTCAAATGGCTGTCTCAAGCGTTCCTCGATGTTTCGGCTGCGAAATTATATCAAGTCCCCTTTTGGGACCAAGTCGGGAGAGAGATTTTACGTAGGTCAGATCTCTCTCTCGCAAAATTCACCTTATTGGCATTACAAATTCGTGATATTGTTAAGAACAATTACGGGAACTTGCCACAGCCATCGGACAAACCGATCCCCAGTTCTGTGGGTGGGTGTAGCAACCCTAAACCTCTTTCCTCTCCCTCTGCCCTTAACTCCCCTCATGGCGGGACTGGCGCTGTCCCTGCCTCTACCCGTTCCCCCGCTTCCCCGAAGTGTACAGCCCCATCCCGTAGGAGTTCAGTTCGGTTTCGGTTGTCCCCAGACCCCAAAAATCCCCCCTCTGCCCCTTCCCCCGGGTCGCCACAAAATGGCCGCCCTTCTCCCTTTCTTCCCCGAGCACAAGATGGCGGAAGCCGCGCGGCTTTTCCCGCCACTTGTGCTCCCCCCCTCCCCCAACCCCCTTTTTCCCGCCTCCCAAAGCACCGCCCCTTCCCCAGACCTTCCCGCCCACGCCCCTCCTCCTCCCTACCCAGACTCCACCCCTCGTGACGCGGGGTATACCCCACCCCCTGACTCCACCTCCGGGGAGGGGAGCTTCCACCCTGCCACTCCCCCCGCTCCTGGCCACGCCCCTTCCGCCCCGCCCCCTGGTTCCCACGGCCCAACTTCCGGTTCTCACGACATCTGTTCCGGAAGGGGGGGGTGTGGGAACCTCGAGCCATCTCCACCCCTTCTGGCCTTCTCTGCCGCGCCGGTTACCTACACCCCGCGGCAGGGGGCTGGGCCCCTCGCGCAGTGGTCCCCCATCCCACAGCATGTAATCAAAGAGCTCTGCAAGGCACAGAGGGAATTCGGCCGGGAGAGCGAATATTTTCGGGGTTTGCTTAAGGCGACCTTCTCCGCGGCCAAATATGTCCCCGCAGACATACGCACTCTCATATCATGCCTCATATCGCATGGGGAATTCCTGATATGGGAGTCCGAGTGGAAGCGGGAGATAAGGGATGTTCTCCCTGACCTCTGGGCCGCTGCAGAGACTTCCAGGGATGGGGATGGGGCGGTCATCTCCCTTGACCACCTGTGCGGGGAGGGGGATTGGACTGAGGGGGCCAAGCAAGCGGACAAAATTCTGCGAGGGGCGCTGCAGGTCAGCGCAAAGGCGGCGGAAAAGGCTTTAGTAACGTTAAGATCGCGCGGGGCAGCCATTGATTTTCTATCTATCAAGCAGGGGCCGTGTGAGCTGTTTGTCTCGTTTGTCGATCGCCTGCACCGGGCCATGGAGGCTCAGGTTCCAGACGAGCGGTTGAGGGAGGGGATGCTTGCCACAGTGGCCAGGCAGAATGCCAATGAGCCCTGTCGGCAGGCAATCCTGAGCCTCCCTCTGGAGCCTGAGCCAACCCTGCAGGCGATGCTGCAGGTCTGCACCCGGAAGGTCACGGTCCCTGCCAAGGACCCGCGGAGGACCCCTCAAGTCCCATCAAAGAGGGTGTCCTTCGCCGCTGCCCCGACGCCGCCGACCACACCATCTGCCAACCGCCGCCCGCCAGGAGCATCCCCGCGAGGACCCCCGCAGCCAGAAACCTGTCATCTCTGCGGACAGGGGGGATACTGGGCCTCCCGGTGTCCATTGAAGGAGGAGTTCCTGCAGTATAAGCAGCAGCAGGGGAGGTCTACCCCCAACCTGGGGGCTAGACCAAAAAACTAGGCTCTGAGCGCAGTCCCTCCCTGCGCCCGGACAAAAATTTGGTGGGGAGTCTTCCAACAGAGGAGGGGAGGGACGACAAAGCACATCTAACCCCACCTGAGGACATTTCTTTACAGGACAGGACGCGTAGGGACCGGACGGATGAACCGACCTACATGAGGGAGGATGTTAGTTTCATCTCCGTGGAGTGGCTTGACTGGCCCCCCGGTCAGCCCAAGCCAGTTCTTAACACCTCTGCTGGCTTCTCCCCATGTAGGTTGGCCCTGACATCGGCTCTTCATCTGACCACCGACGACTGGATTGCCACCCCAGTCGAGGCAGTGGACCCGAAGACCTGGGAGAACATCCACTGTAAGTACATCGTCCTTGGTGACACAAAACACACGCCTCTCGACATCACCATTGCACCCTCCATAACACCGAGGTACACAGGGCAATTGGTGGTGTGGCTGCAGTGCTCCCATCCCCCGGCTTTCCTTCCCAAGGGGCATATCATCGCCCAAGCTATACCAGTATCTGGGGCTCCGGTACACCCTGAGGACTTGTGGCGAAAATCTGCCAAACAGGACTATCAGGTGTGTCGGGCCCAGGCGATCGGGAAGGAAAGGCCAAAATTGGGGTGTTATATGTGGAAGGGCCAGGAGTTCAAACACATCAACGGACTCCTGGACACAGGGGCAGACGTCACGGTCATTCCTGAACGGGATTGGCCGTCGCAATGGGAGTTGCAGAACGTGGCGGGAAGAATTCAAGGTGTAGGGGGCACGCAATTGGCTAAACAATCAAAGAACATAGTGAAAATTGAGGGGCCGAATGGGCAATCGGCATATTTACGCCCATTCGTTTTAGATTACACGGAGCCCTTGTGGGGGAGAGACCTGATGGCCCAATGGGGGGTCACGATTGACATACCGACCCCTCAAGTTTTTCGGGCGGCGACTACTGAGGAGCGTCCCACCCAAAAACTGAATTGGCTGACAAATACTCCAGTGTGGGTAGAGCAGTGGCCGCTTAATAAACAAAAATTAAAAGCGCTCCGGGAGCTCGTGGAAGAGCAATTGGCCAAAGGGAATATCCAAGAAACTACATCTCCTTGGAATTCCCCCGTCTTTGTCCTCAAAAAACCGGGCAAAGACGAGTGGCGGCTTCTTCACGACCTCCGCGCAATAAACGCAGTAATTGAAGATATGGGCTCTCCCCAACCTGGGATGCCGTCCCCAACGATGTTACCCCAAAATTGGAATCTGGCCATAATTGACATAAAAAATTGTTTTTTCCAAATTCCCCTACACCCTGATGACGCGCTGCGGTTTGCCTTCTCGGTTCCCTCCATCAACCGAGAAGCCCCAATGAAGAGATACCATTGGAAAGTATTTCCACGGGGTATGAAGAACAGCCCAAGTATTTGCCAATGGTATGTCTCTTCATTGCTGTCCCCTGTGCGCTCAGCCACGAGGGGCGTGATCATCCATCATTACATGGATGACATCTTGATTTGTGCCCCCAATGACGATCTGCTTACTCACGCGCTTGAACTGACAACCAGTGCGTTGGTTGCTGCAGGGTTCGAGCTGCGCAAGGACAAAATTCAGAGGATGCCGCCCTGGAGATACCTGGGTTTGGAGATTGGTAAGCGGACCATTGTGCCGCAGAAATTGGCAATCAAAAACACAATTCGGAATCTTGCAGACATCCAGCAGCTGTGTGGATCTTTGAACTGGGTGAGACCCTGGTTAGGGATTTCCAACGAAGACCTAGCCCCTCTTTTCAATTTATTGAAAGGGGGGGACGAGCCTAGTTCTCCCAGGGAGCTCACCCCAGAGGCCAAGGCTGCTTTAGAGAGGGTCCAGGAGGCCATGTCTGCCAGGCAGGTCCACAGATGCGATCCGGGCCTGCCATTCAAATTCATCATCATGGGCAGACTGCCACACCTCCACGGTATCATCTTCCAGTGGACGGAGACCCTGGGAAAGGGCACGGACCAAGGCAAAAGGGACCCACTCTCTATCATAGAGTGGGTATTCCTGAGCCACACGCGGTCCAAAAGGTTAACAAAGCCACAAGAACTGGTGGCGGAACTGATCCGCAAAGCAAGAATGCGGATCCGGGAGTTGGCAGGTGAGGACTTTAAGTGCATTCACATACCGCTTAAATTGGAATCGGGCCAATTCACTAAGGCCATGTTGGAACACCTGCTGCAAGAGAACGAGTCCTTGCAGTTTGCTCTAGATAGCTACACCGGTGAAATTTCTGTTTTGAGACCGGCCCACAAAATTTTCGATTCGGATGTTCAATTTGAGCTAAAAGTAACTCGGATTCAGAGCAAAAAACCCTTAAAGGCTCTGACAGTTTTTACTGACGCGTCCGGAGGTTCCCACAAGTCAGTAGTGACTTGGAAAGATCCTCAGACTCAGCGGTGGGAGTCAGATGTCGCTGTGGTGGAGGGATCCCCACAGCTAGCTGAGTTGGCCGCAGTCGTCAGGGCTTTTGAGAGGTTCTCTGAACCCTTTAATTTGGTCACTGATTCGGCATATGTTGCGGGTGTAGTATCTAGGGCACAGGATGCCATCCTGCAAGGTGTTTCTAACGAGGCCCTCCATGAGTTGCTCTCCAAGCTGGTTAGGCTAATCTCCCACCGAGAGCAACCTTTTTATGTGATGTACATAAGGTCACACACCGACCTGCCGGGGTTCTTGGCGGAGGG